AGATTTACATTTCTTGTATGTTGAAATATCTTGGTATTTTTCTGTTTAGTTTTAAATTACACAAATACTGTAATAGTTATACTATTTATGGCAACATTCCAGCTTTATTGGAAGTGACTTCTTGGTAGTAATAATACATTACTAAATATTCATATCTGTCATGTATACTAAAATTTAATCTGTTTTCACAATATACATCTAAGACCAGGCAATCTTAGTTTACATAAATATTAAAGAATTTGCTAATTTTCGACTTTTGCATAAGGCAGAATTTGTTTCGAATGTGTAGGTAGTATTGAATAGAGTGTCTTTCTTCATGAGATATGTACACTTTCACTAATAATTTCTTTATATGTAACACAGCATACTTTTAGATTCTCTGGTGGCTGAGGGTGCCTTAAAGGGTTGGGGCACCATAATTGCAGTCAACGATTATCCCTGCGTGAGCATAAGAGACGACTAAATGGGTTCGAATTACTGGAGTCTAAGCATCTCTTAGCTCCAGCCATCGACGGTTACCTACGATGGTTACGGTTATTCCGTTCATACTTCATTATCTAGTATATACGGAATATACGAGTATACCGTGGGCAATCGACGATGAGCTCCAGCAGGTGAGATGGTTTTGACCCCTTTTGTTGCTTTAAGTTTATAACAGGTTAGCCAAAATCATCGTGTCTGTTTCGGCGCCATATGACCTAAATTGTGTTGGTGCGCAGTAAAACCAAACCAAACAAACCATACACCTAAATGCACCATGAATAACAATATCACAAAGCAAAAAATGTCCATTCGAATTTATCAGTAATAATTATTCAAAATATTTCAAAATTACTGTCTAATATGGACAAGTTTTGACGATCATATCACCTTCAGGTTTTGTATGTTATTTATTTGAATTTACAAAAACTGATATTAAATTTCATGCTTTAAGATTTGTCGTTCGAGAGCAATGGCAACAAAAACGAATATAGTTGACAATTGCAGACTCGTTTTTATTTAGTTTGTTCACGAGAGATATTCGGGATATGCAAAATCTCTCACGCCCCCTAGCACCGGCTGATAAAGATCTTATAAGATAAAGGGAACATAATGAGAAAGTCTAGCTTGACTTAAGTTAAAAACACAATTTGAAGATTTGTGCTGTCCGTTTTTCCCTTAAAATTGTATCATGCTTTGTAACGCATTAACTCTCAAAATATCACTTTATTTTGCTAGCTATGAGAAACTTGACAATGTTTTTCAGCAATCTTCACAAAACATGACAGACAGTGACATATATATCATATAAAACCCCTCACGGTGTCAAATATTCATAAGCTTGTCTTTTTTTATATAAATTAGTATGCTAGTTTTCAAATCATTTTTATATATAACTATTAATAATCATATGCAATGCGTTATTCATTTAACGATACCGCGATAGGATATATTCTAATAGTTTATGATTTTTGTATATTGGTTTGAATGTGTTATTTGTATTAGAAGATATCGTTAGAAACGTTTTGATGCACCGATATTTTACTATGTAGATTTAATTCAAATATATCCTTTTTCCTACTTTTTTGAAAAAATAAACCAAATATCTTAATGACAGAATTTAAAAGATGCTAAAATGTAATAAATGAAACAAATCCCAGAACAAAATGTGACATGATCACTTTTTATTTTCTGCCATGACAAATAAAGAAGAAACACTTTATTAGAAATTCTTAACATTTTCTTAAGATGAGCCAATAATTCATGTATTGTATTGCAAACATTCCCATAAATCAGTCTTTATCGAAAGTTTTATTTCTAGCCAATTCACGCTCACTTGAATTTTATCTTTTTATGAGCAAATAACAGATTATCGCACTTAAGAATCTCGTGAAATCTCGTGAAATTAGTCTTACTTGATTTACATTATACGTCTGGACCAATCTGACAGACTCATAAACTTCTACATGTGCCTGATTTATGAAGAGTCTGTGTTTCAAAAATTTACTTTCTTTAATGAACAGAGTTTCCTATTCATGCCAGTTTTGCTTTTAATACTTTAAAACTTCATTGGGCTATGACTCCATTAACATTTCTTCTAATTTGTGAAATAAGTGGCTTTTCGCGAAATTTATATTGTTTTTTTTTACAGAAAATGTTAAGCATTAAATGGCCAGTAAAGTATACGTAGATCTACGATTGATTATAAGTATAAATTAAAAAAGTACTGTATTAAAATAAAATCTTTTACAAATTAACATACAAGTTTTTAAAGTGTGTTAAATAAAGTTCTTCTATAAAATATCGTATACTTTCTCATACCTATCGCTTTCTTCGGAAACATGTTTGCAAGTTTCATTCAAACATACAGTATATAATCGGCTTGCATCAGACACCAAACGATCTAAATGAAAAAGAAAATCAAGAAGTTTTTCTCTGATTTATCTTAAACTTATCTTTTTCTAATAACAAGCCCTTTATGCTTTTCTATTGCGCAACACATTGATCCACGAGAGATTTACATCAAAGTAATTAAAACAAGCCAAAGGTCTTTGCTAACTCCCATTGCAAAAACTTTGTATAGCAATATCGTTGCAACGTCGAAATAGAATTTCTACATGTTATTGCATGGTTTGAAAATACTTTACCCTCGGGAGTGATGTCAAAGTGATTTTGCAACGGCTGTAGAATCGCTCATACCCTATCTATATCAACCCTTCAAAACATAAAGCAAATTGGCGTTTGATGCACCTTTACTATTTAGATATGTATCAACATATTATTTATTTCTTTACAGAATGAAACAAAATATATCTTGAATAATCACTTAAGTGAATTCAGCCAAAAGCAAGCAGGCGGGGTGTTACTATTTGATAAATAATTTTAAGTTGTTGATTTAACAATAAGGGATAGTGTTCACAAAGAATATTTTAAAATCACGATGGCGGTGCCGCAATAATATGTCGCAATATCAACTTACAAATTGGAGACGTTTTAGAGGAAATGTTCGATGGTCTTAAATTGATTGCGAAGATGTTATGCTTGCAAGTTTTAACCATTTATTGACTGTACAAAACTGGAGAATATTTAAGACACTATCTATAAAAGAAGAAGAGCCAAGATGAAGTCTGCACTCTCTATGGGCAAAAGTGTCATGCAAGAAATATCTTAAACATTATATATTAAATATATTAAACAGTGACAGAACACAGAACTTGGAATGATTCGGGACAGCACACAACAGAAATATAATGACGTGTTGCTAATAAACTAAGTAAATATGCAGGTTAGTAACCTTCATCCAAACAGGAGCAACACACACTTTTAATCAAATGAACCATTGTCTGATACGTCTTAGTACATGTGTATTACATTTCCCCCCTCTTTATGAAGGTTGGAAATTAATCAAACAAAGGAGTGTTTTAGAAGAACAAGAAATCGAAAGTCCGAATAAAATACATTAGTATTGCGTAACATGCCCGAAGGAACATAAATTAAATTACACAGTCAAACTAATTTCAAAGCATTTAAGCTTTTCTCATAGTATATTATAGTGTTTTACAAGAAATATTCCTATATCTTGCTAAGGCTAAGTCTTGATGCTAACGGCCGTACAATTATTAACCTAACTTGTTCTGACTTGAATCTAAAAGTGCCCATTGTTATTTAGGTGATTTGAATTCCAAAGACTGAATATTGTTCTATTCCATTACGTTAAACAATTTAGACTGGATGGGTGTAAAACAAGTGACTTTCTTACTTCATGCTAGTTTTGTTTCTTTTTGTTTTGTTTTGATATCTATTTGTCGGGTTTTTACGTTGCCCAGACAAAGTAAAGGTCATATGGCGACTTTCTAGTTTTACAGCTGGAGGAAAACATCAGGTGCTCCTTCGTGCATTCTTTCAGGTACGAACGGGTAACTGATTTGAATCCACGGCAGTCAGGGGCAAGTGGTTTGAAGTCAACGATCTTAAGACTCTCTTACCGTGTAGTTTTAAAAGACTTAAGATGAAATGCTTAACTTTGTTCTTTGAATATCTAAAATGTTATTGCTTTCAAAAGTATTTTTATGCTTTTAAATAGTCAGTATTTAAAAATAGAAACGTTTCCAATTAAAAGAAGATTTTTTTTAAACTAGAAGCGATGACTTAAGCCTTTTTATACTGTAACATTTGGCGAATAACTTGGGAGAAAGATGCTTGGCCTTAAGAAATATATTATATTTTTCAAAATCACTTACAGAAAATCTCTCTTTTAATATGACGTCATATATGCTTATAAAAGTTGATATGTGTTGATTCCTTTTTAGTCTTCACTAAAGGCATTTTTGTTGATGTCTGGTATTTTGTATTAATAGCTTCTGGCAAAAAGCATAATTTCTGAAATTAAGTTCCTTTGATTTGAAATTGTAGCATAATTGAAGTAAAAGATCTATCCATAATTTAAACAATCTTGTAATGAAAATGTAAATTACTATACAAAGCCTTTATACTCTATCTTCTGATACATTCTTTGTTTCGTCTTAAGCGTCAACAGCGTAAAGAATGATTGAATGAGTGAAAGCAAAACATATCAACAAATACTTTAATTCAAGTAATAAAGCACATGTTTTAGATTTGATATAAAATAAGTGTTATTAATTTAAAAAATACAACATTGATATTTATTTTTATATTAATATATATCATTTATATTATAAGATGATTGCCAAAAAGGTAATTAAAGATTTTAAACATATGATATTTAAATATAAAAAATAATGAAACAAATTTCTGAGACAAATACAAACTTTTATATCGCAGACAATTAAATCATAACATTGTAAATAAATGATAGCGAATTTATTTTTATCCGGAATATTTATTTTCAAACAGAGATACAAACGTTGTAGATTTTTTACATTGGCTACGGATTGAACTTGGCTGCAAATTCATCCAAAAGAAAAAAAAGGGTTGAAGGTAAAGACCAAGAATAACTTAAAATTTAAAATGTGAACGGTCGTTTTGTTGTTAATGATTGATAGGTCTGTGCTCAGCTCATCTGCATATGGTAAACAATATCTCAACATCCATCAAAAACGAATGCTAATACAAATACAAGTAGAAATAGCTGAAAATTAGAAATTAATGACCCTTGTTCCCATTTTTTCCAATAGGAGTTTGCAAACTTTTTGAGTCTTTCTTAATGTTAGTTCTCCATTTCGTTCTTTTTTGTCTCAGTTCACAAGCGTACAAATCTGAACTCCCCTGATAGGAAAACAATGTTTGATAAATTACGCTATAAAGCATAGACGGACAGAGCCTATTAATAAAATAACTGTCATCCATTTAATGTATGTACCAGTAACGATGTTTATTTCAGGTTAAGATCTCAGGCAGTCAGGATATGTATCTAAGAATTATAAAACCTGTGCTTTTACCCTGTGAGTTTCATATTCTTATAATGTGTTTTAATGTTTGATAAATACGTGGAAAGCGCAATTTTAATGAGATAACTCGTGGAATATATTATTTTGGATATAAAATTCACTGTATATTTTATAGTGTCAGGTAACGAATAATTTCAATGGAATAGAAATGAAAATAAAATTTGAATACAAAGTGCGAATAAATTAGTTAAGTTTTAATTGTGTTATTGGAATAAACAGAGACGTGTAAAAAGTGAATGCACGTTTTTTTTGCTGTGTTCTTCCATTTTCCGTCCAAGGATTTCAGTTTGTACAGCACAAGAAAATGGCTTAATTTATACCTTTAGAAAACATTTGATTATACAAGAAAGTATCAAGAATAGAACGATTAAACATAATCATTACATTGGTAAACTAATCAAGCAAACTAGTCACATCATTTACTGACGCTTGGAACTATGTTGTTCCGTATTGGCATTTTGAAAAAGAAATGTATGCTACGACCTACAAATAACTATTTCAGATGTCCCCATAAACTGTCGCCTTCAATAAGTCATTATAAGATGAATAATTATGATGATGTATTTTACAAGAAATATCAAAACATCATTACATTATTATTTTGACAGCTAGATAAGATTGTTGATGGATCTCACTTCACTACTTACATATTGGAAATAATGTCATCATTAATTTACGACAAACTTCAATGCATCATGATGTAAATGATATATGCGTTACATTGTAGTATCCAACATCCCCCCAACACCGCTCTTAAAGTTATTGTTTTTTTTACTATAATACTGTATACTAAAATATCTCAAGATGCGAGGAACAAAATATTCATCTGCCTTTAACTAGTAGTAGTTTAAATAATAATGTTATTCTGTTGCATGTATAAAAGCCTATTTGAAAGTATATATGTTCTAAGCTTTTTTTACAAGTACAATAGAATATATATATTCTAACATATAACTTAAAACACTTTAACATAGGGCTTATTTTCATTAATGGGCCGTATTGGACAAACATCAATTTTCCCCCTTTCAAAATCATTTAAATATTGAATGATGTTTCCTCAATAATTATTAATGGAAGATAATATGAGTGTTTTAATTGTAGAAATACTTTTACTTAAAAAAATGTGTAGTTTTTTCTTTTTTGAAAAAAAGTCGTATCATCTGATAATGTTACTTTATTTATATTTAATTTTAAATTAAACTTTGTTTTTAAATCTACAAATGTCAAACAAATAAACAACAATATTTTAAATGTTTGCATATTTTTTAAATTATTTTATTGCAACAAATAGTTGGTATTTTCCGCTTAAATTATTAATTGACACTGATACGAAAAATTAATATCCAAACATATCTAAAATCATAAAACAAAACACAAATGATTTAAAAAACTACAATGTTACACGAAGAATTTTTTTTTATTACTGTATTTTTGGAGACTGCAAATACAAATAAATACTTGTTTTACGGAGGAAAAACAGTAGAATTTTGATATCTTTAATAAACATAGTGTACTTTTTTGTACAACTTAAACTGGTTAGAAACAAAAATCAAACACCAAATGATACAATAAATTTAGGAAATCATTTTAAGCCAAACAATAGTAGAAAAGTGAAAAATGTGAAAATTCCCGATTTCTTGCCAATCATTTTTTCCATATTACATTTCCATTCTGAAATTCAGGAAAAGTCTAAAACCTTAAACCGATACAATAATAGTATTTAATACATGTTTTAAATATATCGTGTTTTTCCCGTTCGAGCAGTGCTGAATTACATTTCTTCATTTTTATTTGAATATATTAAATGTTCGTTCATATATCACAGAAAAATAAAAATATATAATTCACTGCAATACAATACATGCTTCGGAAAAAAATTAAATATAAATATGGAATAGAAATGTTGTTCTTTTTCTTAATAAAAAAAATAATCCTATAATCAATAATGATGGAAATGCAAAGGTATTTATTTAGACGGATCAGTTCCTATTAATTTTTTATCAATTTGAAATTTGAAGTTTTTTACGCGACTTTTTTCAATGAAGATATATTCCAAAGAAATGAACAATATCATATAATTTGTATTCTGTCAAGTTAATTTAAGGCTATATGAAAGAATGCAATTCAAAGAATATACGAAAAAGAAGGGAGAATTTCACTACTGCATTTTGACCAATACAGCCAGAAACTTGCGAAAACTGATTCTATATTCTTTCTTACGCATCGATCAATGGCGACGATAATATTTACAAAATTGTTGAAGCCAGTTGATAAACGGAGTGCTTTATACAAAATTCAACTGGCCTTTTTGCAATAAATTTAATTTTGGTACCCATTTTCAAAATCAGATATGACAAAGAACAGACAAATCTGGCACGACGTGATCAATGACTTTTTACACCTTCCCCCCTCCCTCGACGGTAATATCAACTAATATATTAAGAATCAAACTTTAAGATTTGCGTCAAACTTACAAGGGTTTAGTTCCGACATGTTTTGTAAAATCTGTAGAAACACGCCTTTTTAAGGACGGACACTTAAAGTGTCAACGGAAAAAGTCTAAAAATGAATTGTTCAGTTTAATCCTTTTTATACATTACACACCGTTTGTGTGACGGATTGTTATGCGCACTAAAGGAATGTTGTTATTTAACAAACGGATTTGAATAAATTAAAGCATTTTTGTATGACTAACAATTTCGTATTGTATGTTTCTTTTAAAAAATACGATTTAAAATATTCACGGGCGAGGTTTCTTTTTGTTACAGAGGTTTCGTCGTGTCTCAATTAAAAGCCGATTTTGGGCAGAACTCTCTTGCGAGAACTCGAAGCTTCATGAATTAATATAAGCTTGTATTTACAGGTCGAGGGCCTTTTATTCAGGTTTCCCCCTAGATGACGAAGACATGACAATACTCACGAATTATCGGTATTCAGGACTCAGGTTCGCCTGTCAAAACGACGACGTTGGGCTGTAAGAGCGGAGAACGACTGTCTAGCCCTGTCACTCAAATCTGAAAACAGAATTATATAGATACCTGAAGCAACATTGCACGAACATATTAAATTGATGGGTATAGAATAACGCGGGTGTGCTGTGAAAACTAGCGTGTACTATACACCGGAGAAATTGTCACGAGCAAATGTCAAAATAAAGAATACGTATCGGAACAAATAAAGTATTTTAAATAAAACTAATTTACTCAATCTGTGTAAAAAATATACCTAAGAAGCAAAGTAGGTTGTTGTGACATTGAACGATAGTAAGAAGTCGAAAGGATTGCATTGCTTTTCTTTGGTCCTCTAGAATTTCTGAATCGATCAATATGGATAATTGGGCATGATTTCGGATCTCTTTTCTCGTACGAATGACTAAGTATTGAGGAAAAACAAAACAGAAAAAACATAGCCAAGAAAGCAAAAAAAAGTTGACATAAGGAATCTAGTTGAGGGTTTGATGACTTATGTATTCAAAACAATACATATTGCCGAACAAAATGATATAAATGACTAACATTCAATACAAAATATTCTCTGTTGTTTTTATTTCACTTCAGTTCTTGCATCTGCATCCTATTTACTGCAATGTTTTTACTCATTACGAAAGTTCAAAGGGTTCCGAGTTGAAAAAAACAAACTAAAATCATTACAAAATAATGTCTGAGAACAAACAAATTGAATCCGTTGTCAAGCTTCAGTTAGGTTTCGGTGTTTTTACAAAACTGATAATTTTTTATGTTCATAAACATATTGTGTCGGGAAATATTTCCAACTGTATTCGTTATTTATTTGAGTTAAGCTTTACAATAATCACATGTGGACTATTTCTAAAACATTATTTAGACTTTCATTTTCTATCATAATAGTTGTTTCTTTGCATTAAATGCTAAAATAAAACCCAGGCAGCAAAACAATTTGAATATCAATTAAACAAGTTGCGAGAAATATTATTCAGAATTGTTGAAAGCTGCCTTCGAATTTGACGTCTTCATAGACCCCATACGTGGTTATACAACACAGGCATAATAATTTCTTGCTTTTCTAAGCACCTGTACAAATATTAATTATATTAGTATTGTTTGCCTTTTGAGGACCGCTTACCAGTAAATTACAAATATATACATAACATTATACGTATAGCCAATTACAGTCTCTAGAACAGTGGTTTCAGGTTACAGTCGCCCGTATTAAGTCCTTTATTCTAAAATTACTCTATGTTTGTTTTTTTGGAGACCCATGATCTCAAATAATGGAAAATAAATATAAATATTTAATAGAATAAGAAAATCAGTGATTCGAGACGTCGATATTCGTATCCAGCTAAAACGTACATGCTATTTTCGATCCAATGGTTTCCCAAAACTGCGTGGACCCTACAGTTCAATAAAGGTTTATCGGTCTGCGTCAATTATTCTTTTGTCATGCGCACTGCAAGCTTCTAAAATAATCAATTTATTTTCATTTGCAGATCGTATGGACACAAGCGCGTTCTAGACAACATGGCATCCAATGATTTATAGCCCATGTTGTCTCTATTTACCGTGCCAGACACATCTCCAAAGGATCAAGAACTTTACATCGATGATTTCCTACGATAATTTCAATCTGAATGCCATGTATTTGTTCAATTGACAACATCTAGAGTAACATCTCTTCCCTATTGCTGTGATAAGACGTGTTTTTGTGTTGGACGTCACTCTATTGACCATGTGGTTTATACAAATAGTTTATTAGTCTTATCAAAAACATTTATTAATATATCATATTTCTGCATGTAGTTATACGTCTATATATTAACATTTAACCCATGGACACGGAGATACATAATTCTTGTTTTGTGTGTTGACGTATTGACAAAAGCATCTTAATAAAAATTAAAATAATACCAGTTTCTTATTTAGTTATTTCAAACTGAATTGAAGTAAATATTCTGTGAAAAGGTTCTGAATTTTTGTTTCGCAAAAATCTGGAATGAGTCGTTAGCAATATCATGTTCTAGCATGTAAATTTGACTTGCACGATTCTGTTTTCCAAAAATAAATTGCGATATAAAATATGTGCCAAAGTTTACTTTTTTATGCGTTTGTTTTTATTTCATATTATATTAAAATAGAAATCACAGCTGTTATAAAAGAAAGTTTAGATTTTTTTCGTTTTTCAAGATTTCGTTTTTTACCACAAGAAAATACAAAAACAAAACAATACACAGACAAACTACTATCAACAATTATAAAGAACTCAATAAATAAATAAATAAATAAACAAATACACGAACACGCAATTTTCTAAATTACTCATTTGAATTTATGTTGCATTTTATTTTTTCTGTAATTTTTTGTAGAGAAGTTCACGTGGGCTTTGCAAAATGGCCACCAAACAGAGACAAATCCCAGTTATCAGCTACATTTTTTTAGAGCTGGCATGATTGCGATAGTTTTAAAGTAGAAAACCGAATACTCTTTAAGCCGGTGCTAGGGAGCATAGAAGATGTAGCAGTTTACAATATTTCTCACGTGAAGACTATCTTACCGACTTGCCATTTTTTACCAATTTATTTAGTTTTTGTTTTCCTTGCTCTAAGAAGATTTCTCTTTTCAAAGAAAAAATGACAATTTGTAAGCAGCAATTAATATTTGATAAAAACTTTAAAAGTTCATAGTCAACAAGCATTAAATTAATTGAAATATGTTTTGTGAAAATTCTCTGTTCATTATCTAATGATAATCTACACAACTGAAATTAAGTTGAATTATGATATTAAAAATATGTATGGTCATTAAATATATAATTTACTTACATCAAACAAATTATCATATGAAAATGTTTATGATACATGTAAATGTTATGTTAAGTCAATATCCTAATAATTCTCACAAGCTTTCATTAATTGTTTGACAAGAATGGTAGATTGTTTTCAGGATGCAATATAGATAGTAAACTTTAATAGTAAACATAATATATGTAATATGTAACAATGTTACTGACAATTTAAACTTTAAAATTGATTCCAATCGGTTCAAAAAATCGATCAGTCTTTGCCATTAGTTAAGAGCAAGGGCACTCTGCACGCCCATGCAGTCAGTCACTGCCCTATACTGTTGGATAACTAACAGAAAAAGGTGTTATTTCTATCTACTGTATACAAAACGAACATCTTCTTTTTGCGCATTAAAAAAATATATTATTATGACGTGTATTATTAATTTCTAAATAGTAATACAAAATACTGTATGTTAAGCACTTTGATATAGCTGATTCCTGATTAGGGTACTAGTATTAATTTTTTACACATATGTTTTATAAACATACAGCAAAGTATGGCTCTCCACATACTTGGTCCTTGAAAATATACATATCTCGTATTTAATGTCAGATTGTTTTGTTTGTTTGTAAGTATAGCCTGATCTTATGTTAAATAATTGTTATTTGAGCCTCATTGTACCTTTTATTCATGTTGACCTCATTGTTTCTATGTTTGTACATGGAATGAGAGATATAAAAGTTTTTGACATGACTTGACTTGACTTTATAATGTACAATTCACAAATAGAAGCCTAGAAATGAAATTTAGCAGGTTAAGTGTTAAAGTCAATAAAATGTTGTGTTTTCAAAACGTTATGTTTCCTATGTTAATATAGCGTATGTTTATAAAGATTTCACTCATATTTGATATATTGAAATTTTGCGTATTTTCGCCGGAGACAGACGTTAGTTTTATGAAATAATAAAAAGTTAAAATCAAATCAATAAATATACGTTTTTCAATTTCATCACTTTTTTGCATTTTACTTAATAATTTTTCATTCATAAGTTTTTATTTCTGAAACGTTTAATAAAACTTGAAAATAAAGGAATACTATATACCAACCCACGAAAATAACGTTCCAATCTGACAAATGACAAGCCAGAACAATAGAGCATTGCAACGCTTAGGTAGTAAAACAGCCATGAAACGCTGCAAAATTATGAAAATTGGTCATAAAAGAGTAGTAAAAAGTCAATTAAAGTCACTCGGTGTAATTTTAGAACGTTTCATTCAGAATTCGGGATATGGGGCTCTTGATAGCAGTTTTATATGAATGGAAACATTATATGTCGCAAATGAAATTTCTAAAGCACACAAAAAAGCAGTAAATATTATATTTGACATTTTATAGCTGTGTTAAATATTATTAGGGGATTATTTTGAACAGTTTAATATCTGATGAAATTTATATCCTTTAAAACGTTACAGTTGCCTTGCTATTATAGTAAGGTTATAACAGCACTTTTGATCTTATAATGAATAACATTACATACAGTGATGGTACTCTGAAGTTAGAACTTGTGGCATTTATTCATTGTGACTGATTCCATATTGTACGATATCAGGCCGTTTTCGAGGCGAAAAGGCAAATGCACGACAAACATTAACATGTCGTCTGTTCGTGCTTCTAATATTTCGTCAATTTGCACGAAAACACTACAATAGTTTTTTTTTACTTTCTATTTTTGTGTGTGTGTATTTTTGTCAATGCTGTACAAACTACAGAAAAACACGAAAAGTCAACAAACAGTAGTCTCTTGAATTTGCTGTATCGACGAAACGAAGAGCAATATTACGTAATTATTGTGCGTAATTCATTAAGATAAAATGATTTAACATTTGATACAATGACGCGCTTGCTAAATTAAATCATAAAATCGATTTATAATGTTAGGAAATTATATCGTAATGAAGTTTTACCGAGATATTAAATGTTTTACGTCATATTAATTTGGTTGCAACATAACATATCATGTTACTTCACATAACCCCAATATTCTCATAACTTTCAGATTATTTCAAAGGAAGTGTTCCATTTTGAAACCGTATTTTACTACAATCTCTTTTATATGATAAACTGATGAAATTATGCTATGATTGTTTTAGGCAATACATAACATTTACGAAAATGAGATTATGAAAAGTTTATTAACGCCGTTACGTAACAAACAAAATGCATGAAATAAAAAGAAAAGAAAACAGTAAAAACAAGTGTTTGAAACTTTTTTAAACATTTCATTTTAGTTTAGATCAGAACTTTTATTTTACGGTTAAATCAAAACTTTGTAATATGAAATGTTCAATTAACTTAAAATAAATAAATTATACAAGTAAGCACAACTGTATAAATACTTGAAATAATGGTATTTACTGAACGTAATGAACAAAAAAATACATTCAACAAAAGAAAGTTTTTCCACTGAAACAATAGTTATACGAGTATCTTATAATACTAATAAGAATAATATTTTAAATACTGAGCGAAGGTATTCAAATAACTGTTCCGTGTTAAGCTGATAGTAAAAGATTTAAAAAACTTAAAATCAGCCAAATAAAATAAATATTATTTACTCACATTTGTATTAATCGACGTTATTCCAACATTAAAAGTATAGATAGTATTGGTGGCACGTGTAAATGTAGTTGTTTCACGTCTGCGAGTCTATTTTTGTACATTATTGTTGAACGACGAAAGAACTAGGAAGACAAATAGCTCTATTACAGTTAATATAATATCGAGTTCCCGTGTAGAGTAACACTTGGCAGTTAAAAACCTAAAAATGAGCAGGCCATGCCCGCTTTTAAAGGGATTGGCAATATAAAATGTATGTAAAAACATTTTATTCAAAAAAACGATTGATGTGGGCCGTATTGAGTTTCAGAAACCCCATGTTGCGTATACATATATACAGATAAAATGTTAACCACGGATATTAAGTTATTTTTGATACGTACCTAAGGTTGATATTTGGATTCCTAAAGAAATAAACACTTGTTTCAGAAATAACAACTTCGTTCTTGAACTGTTATTCAAAGCTTAAATATTTTAATAAAACGCAGTTATGTTCAATTTTCTGTTTTGGCATGTACCTTGTTCAACAACTTAAGAAAGGTTGGGTTAATTCATTTTCTCCAATGTACGTCAAATTATTTTATCTAAAATTAAAAATAGATCATAGTCATTTTTAAAATGTCTTGCCTATAAGACTTAGTAAGCTTTTCATTAATACACACCATAAAGGTGAAGATGGTGCAATATACAATTGATTGTTGACATCGTCGATTAATGACACAAAAAAAAGATGCACAAATGGGCTAAAGAATGTCTTGTACTCGTAATTTTAAAGAAGCAGACTTGTAACTATCATGATAAACCTGTATAGCTTTGTTGATTTTCTTCTTATATATGACCTATATAAGGCTAAAGCCTAACGAACTAAATAAAACTATAAGCTTCAGTTTAATAAAATCGCCTTTAATAAGACTTTTTCGACATGACAATTAAAACTAATAGGGCAAAATAGAAACAATTTTGATAAATAATAACCCAAATTCAAGCATGCAGAACAAGCGCAACACGGCGATGAGCATAGAGATGACACTATCGCTGTCAAATATGATACAACAGATTAAAGCATGAAAGAGTCAATATAAAGCTGTGGCCAACCTTTAAGTAAGAAGTAAGGGAATTCTCAAAATACGTAGAGAAATTTTGAAAACACGAAAGAAAATTCTCAAAACACGTAAGGAAGTTCTAAAAAACACAGGGAAACCTGAAAACACGAAGGGAAATTCTGAACACACACTCAAAACATCAAAATTTGTTTGTCTGGAACCAACACAGTATAGGTCATATGTCGCCGAAACAGGATAGATGATTTGGGCTAACCTCCGATATTAACAGTCCTCAGAACATGAACAATCGAGGATTCCCGGAATTAAATAGTTGTAAGCATGAATGCATATAGATGTTTGAATAATCTTAATCCATAACCTCACACAAAAGTAATAATCAAACTCAAAGAATGCGAACGTATTCGGCAAACATAGTACGATCTGGATAACATTTCCAAAGTC